TCACGAAAGCCGGCCGCTTTTCGTTCACCCCGAACCCATTGTTACGTAAGCCGGCCGGGCTTTGCCAAAAGCCGGCCGGTTTTCATTGCCGCAGGATTTTCTCCCAATATTGACGAATGCCGGACGGTTTCCACGAAAGCCGGCCGGTTTTCGTCGCCGTACTTTTAATGCCATAAATAAACCCCAAAGCCGGGCGGTTTCCGTGAAAGCCGGGCGGCTTTCAGCTGCAAGAAATTCTCCAGGTCGGACATTTACGAAAGCCGGCCGGTCTTTACAAAAGACGGCCGGTTTTTGGTTGCGAGAAAATTTTCTGATTTAATGTTGACGAAAGCCGGGCGGTTCTCGGTGGAAGCCGGACGGTTTTCGTTGCCGTGGTATTATTCCCAATAAATCAAGACGAAAGTCGGGCGGCTTTCGTCAATGCCGGGCGGCATTCGCCCAGGGCGGGGATTTTCCTCCCCTTTTTCCTCTACAAACCCGACCAACCGTCAGGGTTATAAATTTGCACATATCAAACACTCCTATTGAATACAATAGAAGTAATAACATGAGTTTAAGAATTTACCCGCAACGGAGTCCGGGTTAGCACATGTGTCCGCCTCCGTCATCGCATAGACCCTAGCTTGGGTCTTGCCTTGGTTCACAGATGGCGCGTTGCTTGTACTTGGCCCTCCGCGCGCCGTGCTCGCGTGAGGTGCCCCTGCTCGGTTCCTACTTGCCGTAGTCCCGCTGCTAGGTCCCGCACCCATGGCTCGCCCAAGTTGTGGGCAGTTTGATCTCAAGTGCCCCGTCTCCCCGCATTGGTAGCACCTAGGGGGATCGCGGCACTTGTCCGCGTGGTTCCTCTTGCAGTTATTGCACCTGCTAATTCCCGAGCCTTGCGACCTCGAGCCTTGCCCTCCTAGGCCTTGATTTCCCCTAGATGGTGGTGCGGGCGTTCTGAAAGACCCACCTCCCCCGTGGTTCCCCTTCTTGCTAGAACCTTGGGGGCCGGTGTTCTCCCATTTCCTCTTCTTCGCTTCCTCGGCGTTTTTCAGCTTCCTTTCTTCCCATTCCTTCTCCCCTTTCAGGCCTTGCTCCACCACTTGACTAAACGTCATTTTAGGCAATTGTGTTGCCCGTTCACGCACGTCTAAGTCTAAAGCATCCCAAAAGTGATTCACCATCCGGTTCTCATCACAAGCATACTCCGGTATGAACTCCGCGAGCTCCCTGAACTTGTGCTCAAGTTGCCTCACGGTATACTTGCCTCCTTGGGTCAAGTTGGTGTATTCTCTCCTCTTCAAGTTCACCTCGAAGTCAGAGTAGTGTTGGTTGAAAAATTCCTGTCGGAAATTCTCCCAAGTTACGGCCTCACCGTACTTCCCCTTGACACCGTCCCACCATGTGGACGCCATCCCCTCTAGCAACCTTGTTGCTACTCTCATCTTCATGTTTGGCGGCAGCTGCATATCAAGGGCCGCTTCATTGAACCTCTTGATCCACTCCGCCACAACAGATATATCTCCCGTTCCATCGAACGGTTTACACCCCAAATCTCTTGCTTCTTTGAGGTACTTCGAGATCCTTATTATTGGGACCTCGACACCTCGATCTACTCGGGACTCCACATGTCCCCTAGAACCCGCATGGCTTCCCCTTCTTGAAGCCCCTCCCAAAGCACGCCTTGCCCGGCGCCTTTGGCGATCTTGCTGAAATTGATGGAGTAGTTCCTCCATCCTTTCTAGAGCGTCATCGTCGTCGCTCCCCTCACTAGCATCATCATATTCCCCATCATATGGGGTCTCAACCGGCTCAGTTCTCGGTTGATACGTCGAATCCTCCTCGGACTCATAAGACTCATTGACCGTTTCAACATAACCGTCACTCACGGTCTGAGCTTGGCCTCCACGGCCCTGTCCTCTGGACACCCTAGAAGCCCCTCTACTGCCTTGCACGGATCCTCCAGGTGCTCGGCCAGTCGGGTTCCTTCTAGTTACTTTCCCGGTACGTTCCATTTCTAAAAGAAATTGAGAATGAGTCATTAGACTCGTATCAAATGTCAATTGACGGATAGGTACTTAAAGACATCCTTTGGCTCAAATCACCGCCATACCAATTGTTAAGGGTACAATCTTAACAATTAGAGACATTGCAACTCAAGTACCAAAAGTTCTATAAGTACAAAACATCTTATGCTCATGGTTTTCAAATTCATTTTTCAAAAGAATTTTGAAGCTTCATTATGATGTTTACGAACCTGGCTCTGATACCAATTAAATTGTCACGCCCGGACCTACCCGGACACGTCAACAACCCTTCGTACAGTACGAATAGTCAACCGCAGTCCGACTCATCCATACTATACAAGGCGTCTTGAATACCATTCACACATAGTACATCCATAAACAAACATAATGTAAAACATTTATTAAAGCAGCGGAAACAGTTGATACAAGTGTTCAAGCCACACTTGGCATAATTAGGCATGCAAGCCCCCAAAGTAATTATTCAGAAAATATTATCCATGAGCATTGTTTTAAATTGTTTTCAAAACAGAAACGGAAGAAACACGAACCACGTCTTCTCCCTTCGATCTTCCCGAAGCAACGGGCGGTGGCAGCAACCTTCAAGTTCTACCTGAAACTGTGAGGTGGCCTCCCCCGTGAAGGGGAGGTCAGTACTTGGAAACATTTGACAAGTACAATAGCAACTATACTAAGTATAATCAATGTTTAAATTTCTAAGACCCTCAATTCAGGGTGATATTACATTATAGGCCATAACCCTCGGTTACCCCTTTTTGCTATTTAAATCATACTTACTTTATATGAAGTCAAGTAGCCGGCCCGTGGGCCCATATTCATTTAGAATTCATCATTTCCATTCCCCCGTGACCGCAAGTCACGATAACCCCGTGGGGTCCCATCGAGCCCCAATTGTATAGCAAGGGCTCGGCCCAACTACATTTCTATACAATCCTCTAACTCAATATAACACGTCAAAATTGTATGGCAAGGGCTCGGCCCAACTACGTTTCCATACCAACCATAACTTCGTGGCAAGGGCTCGGCCCAACTACGTTTCCACGAAGATCACAAATACATGGCAAGAGCTCGGCCCAACTACGTTTCCATGCTAATCATATTACATGGCAAGGGCTCGGCCCAACTACATTTCCATGTCATCCTAGAGTCCAACTCTAATTATTTTCATAATCCAATTCTCAAGCAAATCCTATGCCTAGAATCAATTCCCTTGGATAGCCTTTAGGCCTACCCCTAACACACCTTAGAGTTCATACAATTCAACCTTAAAGTATCTCTTGAGACTACTTAAGGCATATCTATATACAATCCTACCTCTTAGGATTTATTTCATCATTTAATTATATTAATCCCCCGACTAGTATTTTGATACTAGTTGGATAATCTTAGAACCGTCAAGTTCTTAACTCATAGCCAATTATTTCATCTCAAATGATTTTCCAATCCAAATATAATTTAACCCCAAATATCAAAAATATCACTTTCAACCATTCATGAATTTCATACATGAAGTAAAAGTATATTTTATCACAATATTATCATAGTTAATCTCATCATCATACCATCACTTTCATATCACATAATCATACATAATTTACTCTAAATTTGTATATCGTGCTTCACTTTTTCACACGCAATAGTATTTTCATTTAGGCATTATTATTCATTAATAATCCATGAAAATCACATTTAATAATTTAGGAAATCTTACGAAATTAACCCAACAATTATAAGCAATATAGTCAGCCATCCTCACCTCGTGATGTGCTACAATAGTTGCCTTTGTTACGCCCCTCGATCAATCCTCGTTCTAGGCCGATTGAAAGTGAAATGCTGGATTTCTGGGCCAAAGCCGGGCGGCTTTCATAGTCTGCAACTACGAACAGCTCCCTATATGTGGCGGTTTCCGGCGATTTCGACTCCTATCGATTCACCAACTCTTATAAGTTAATCAACACCACTTTATATCAGTACTCTACACTTTTAAACGTGTAGAACTCATGGTTTAAATCCACCATATGATTTCTTAAAAATCATACAATAAAAAACTAGTTAAAGATTGTTTATTGAGTTCTTACCTCAAAAACAACCCTCTTCTCTTTGGATTCTCTTCCTTGCTGCTTGGACTATGAGAGGAGACTTCCCTAGAGCTTCTCTCTCTGCCTTGGTCGAGTGGATGATGTCAAATGGAAGGGGGAAACATCTCCCCGATCAACTCCCAAGATAATACATGTGTATGGGCCCTTGGGAGTGATTTCTTTGTCTTGAGCAATCTCCTCACTCAATGAGTCCGCACCTCCCATGTTTGAATGTCCCCTTCTGCTCTCACTCAGTCCATAAGGACGTGGAGTGGCCCCGTTCATGTGGGCGGTCATCCCTTTAAGTCCCGGTGTGTATAATCGGCCCCGAAAGTTGTATTTCTCGGACTATTTTAGTCATATTTTATTTTATCGGGCCGGATAAAATATATCACGCGTTGCCAATAATTATGGGCATTTAGAATAGATGTACATTCCCCAACATTAATTTTGGAGCCTCCGAAACTCATTTCGGGCTGTTATCTGCTAAATTACCAATACCGGTAATTGGGCCCCGTTTGACCAACCGGTCAACTCCATGCCTTTCTTATGGCCCAAATAGAATATCCACCACCATATAGATGTCATCTAGACCAAGGTGAATATAATATGTGGTTCGGGAATTATCGGGCAGTCCCCGTTCCCGCTGTGGGTCCCACATGCAATTTACTATTCACGTAAAAGAAATAATAAAAATTTAACAATTATGTAAATTCAGAAATCATCTTTCAAGGTTTATTACATAATTTACTAAAAGTAAATATGCTTAGGGGCGGTGCTACAAGTTCACCCCCCCTTAATGGGAACTTTCTTGCTTCTTAGCTTCTTTACTTGCCTATCAAGTATCCTTACCGGTTGCACGGCGTAGTTCAAGTCTTCCCGTATTTCCACGGGCGGTTTCTCTAGTACATGAGATGGATCCGGAATATACTTCTTAAGCATAGACACATGGAATACATTATGTATTTTCTCCAATTCTGGAGTCAACTGTAATCGGTATGCTACGGCCCCAATTCTCTCAGGAGATAAAAACAACACTTCGAAAATTTTCTAAGTCCTAAATTTTTGGCCCTCGGTCAACCCAGAACAAGCTACACAAGATCAAAAAGGAAGCAACGACCGGAGGCCTAGCACAGGACGAACACTTGGAAATTTTTTCTAAGTCCTAAATGTTGGGCCCTCGGCCAAACGTTTAACCAAACATACATTCATGCACGAAAGGAAAGAAGGCAGGGAATAACATAAAAGGCATTCATTCAAACAACAGACAAGGAGAAGAAGGCAATCATTAACAAAATGGAAAAGCAAATTGTTATACATGAAGGCCGAAGCCGAAGGATTGTACATATTCATTACAAAAATTGTTCAAAATTATACAAGAACATGGTTATCATCAGCCTCAGCAGCACCCCCCTCGACAAGCTTCGAAGTGGCATCCTTTTCGGCCTCTTCCTCTTCATCGTTAGCCTCCTGAATCAGTACAGTATCTTCCAAATCAGGTCTTGTAGCACCCTCGGGAAGGGGAATTCTGGGATCAGGCTGGAGAGGAGGAAGACCATGAGCTGCCGGGTCAAAAGCCTTCAGGTCCACCCCCAAATGCCGAGCCAGCCTTCGGTAGATGAGGGCCTGAGTGAAGTACTCACCCCCATCGTAATACTCTTTTCCCTTCCGGGCTAGCCACATGGCGCCGCGGCCCTTCACCCAGTCATCTACCAAGGCCTCCACCACCGAGGCCACCCACTGCTGATGCCCCTCAGCCTTCCAGCCCTCAACGACGAAAGCAGCCACTGCACCGTTCTCGGCCTGGGTTACTGCCTCCTTCTTCTCCCCCTCGGCCCTCTCAATGGCTATCCTGGCGGCCTCAGCTGCAATCTGCTCGGCCTCAGCTCTTCCCTCGGCCTTGGCCACTGCCTTGGAGTTCTCAAGATTTTTACTGAAGGCCGCCTTGTCCACTTAGAAAGCTTCTTCGGCCTTCTGAGGCTGCCTTCGGGCCTCCGCCAAGGCTTCATCCGTCTTCTGCTTCTGGAGAGCAGATTCCTCCATCCTCCGAATAAGCTCACCTAGGCCGATGCTTGCCTACGAAAGACTACGAAACACTGAGAGTTAAATTACTATGCACAACATGCAAGATACACATGACTAAAGGAAAGACGGGAGGAAAAATCTTACAGTGACTGAAGCCTGGAGGACCTTGGAGCAGAGGGCATCGTCAGCCTGTCGGGACAACACCGACTTGTCTGTCGAAGGGGTGGCACCCCTCAGGAACTCCCTCGGGCTGAGGGTGCCGTGCATGATGGCAGTCCCCTTGGTGATAGAGAACTTCACGTTCTCCTGGGGCCATGCCATTCCGGTAACTTGAGCTGGGGGCTCTGAAGAGGAATGTTCCTCGACAATGACAACGGGGGCCTCTTTCTTCTCGAAGGCCCCTTCTTCTGCTTCTTCCCCTCCGGGGGAACCGCGGCCTTCCCGACCCGCTTTCTCTTTAGCTCCTCGACAGGGGAGCCCTCGGCTGTAGAGCCGGCATCTTCACCGACGGCAGCCTTCACCACAGGCCCACTAGCATTCCCTGTCGTGCCTTCGGAAATATCTCATCCACCACCCTCTGCTGCACCGGAGCCTCCTTCTTCTTGTCTTCTTTGGCAAGTTGCCTTTTCAACTTGGCGAGATTCCTGACATCCATATCTCGTCCTGAGAAACAAGGGAAACATAAAAGTGTTAGAATACTGCTACAAGACACAAAAATCCTAAGTATAAAATACGAGCCCACGGCAAGGCAACAACCTCCGGCACTTTGGTAGACCCGATCGATGGGGGATATATCTCATCTTTTTCACCCATCAACTGGTACCAACGGAAGCTCAAATCATAAAGCTCATCCGGAAGGGTGGCGACCTTGATCAGAACGTGCTTGTCAGACCCCTCCGGCTTCTTGGAAAGCTTTCTCCCCTTCTTCTCCAAGGTGGCACTCTCTGCCTTTAGATGCCTCCGGAAGCTATCACGGAGGGAGCTGGGAAGGGATTCTCCGCCATAAGAACATAGCAAAATTTGTCTTTCCACCCCTTATGAGACGAGGGGACATCGTCGAAGAGTCTGAACTCGGGGAGCTGCTGCAGGTTGGCGAAGCCTCCAGCATTTGAGTGACCCCCCGGCAGAGGTTGAAGGAGAGGAAGAACTGATCTAATGTGGCCTCCACGTCCCTGCTCCGCCAAAGGGAAAGGAAACCAGCCAAGTAAGAGTGGCTATTTGGGGTCAGCTCACGGGGGCGAGTTTAACGAAGCGAAGGTATTAGATCACGAAGGGATGGAGGAGGAATCGGAGGCCCAACTCAATCGAGAGTATATGTACGGCAAAGCAACCATCGGGGGCATGCAATAGCACGTCATCTGGCCCCAGCTCCACCACCTGCACCGAGGGCCCGACCAAGAACTGTGTAGCCATGTACTCCCCCTGTGTGGCTCCGTTTTTCACCTCCAAAGCAGCTGTGTTCAGGAAGGAATAGCGTTCGGGAATTCCTACTGGCTGCCCAGCATCGACGGCAACTTGTTTCTTCTTCGGGGCAGCCTTCGCTTTTCTCTTTTTCTCGGGGGCCACGCTAATAGGTGTCGGGTCTAGAGGCTAGGAGGTGCTGGCTTCTCCAGCGTTACGTGCGGGGAGGATGGTAATGATGACCTTTTGCCTCTCTTTCTCCTCTTCCTCCTCCGTAACCTGAATAGCGAGGGCTAATTCCTCGTCTTCTACCACTTGTTCAAATTCTTCCGCTTCCGCCTTAGTCCGAAGGTTGTCTTGGATCCTCTCGGCTACAGCGGAGTCATCATGTACCGAGGGCAGAGGAAGAACTGACCTCAAGAAAGGGGATTTGATCGAAGGAAATTTTCTCTCTCTAGAAATATTTCGGCAGAGCTTCACTACAATATGATCGCACAAGGGATGGTTTCCAATCTTGGGGGTATTTATAGGCCTCCCACTCCGGGATTGGGCCAAGAAACCGGGCCCCCGATGGAAGAATCATCATTATACGTCGCCTCCTCCGCCAACCGGTAATGCCCGCCCGCAAACAGCCAACGGGTACACGCCACGTGGACAGCACATCCAACGGCTATATCCCAACAGTCATATTCCAACGGTCATATCTCAACGGCTCTCTTTCACAGACTAAGTTCCCTCATCTGGGACCCCTCAGACAACGTTATGCATGCCTTCGGGCAATCTCCTTCAGGCTCCTTTATCAAGGGGAGCCCTGTTGGGAATATTTTATGGTGTTCAATCTAGTTAGTTATCTTTGTATTTGTGTGGTTATAAATTAAACGTGTAATACGATCCACAAATGTGTATCAGCTCGTGGGCTTCCTTGTAACCCGTAAGTTAGCTAACTTCTCCTATAAAAGGAGTCTAACTTACGGGAACCCTAACTGATTGAGAGAGGCTGAGAGCGTAGAGGCGTAGAGATAGAGTGATTAGGGTTGCCGCTGCTCTCCTTCTCCAGGGAGAGTAGCGGCGGGTTTTTCACGGTATACCAGATTTGGGTTTTATCTTGTCGATTTCTTCCTATCTGCTTCTTTATCCTTGTTATGATTGTATGATTGTTAGTATTCAGGGATTAACGATTGCTCCTGTAATCTTGTTTGTGAATGAAAATCTGTAAAAATTATACTGTTGGAATCGCCCTTCAAAGCCGATCCAGCAGCATATACTCTTTTTCGATTTCTGCAAATTTTCATTTTTTGAAGAACTCTCAATGAATTGTGAGTTTATGCTTTTAACACTGCTGCAGAAACGATTTTGACTTGAAACAGATACAGGAGGGATCGCGACCTTCAGGGCTATTCAGAACAGTTTTCAGATTCTCAAAATTCGACAGTTTTTAAAATCGAGAGTTTTAACCTCGCGGTCATGAACTCGAGTTTGTAAACTCGCGGTCATGAACTCGAGTTTGTAAACTCGCGGTCATGAACTCGAGTTTTAAACCTCGAGTTCTGACCTCGAGTTTTTAAACCTCGAGTTCTAACCTCGAGTTTTTAAAATTTGAGAGTTTTGGAATTGCGAGTTTTGGAATTTATTTCGAGTTTTAGGAACTCGATGTTTTGGATTTCGACATTCTAAAAATTTCAGAATTTATGGAATTTCTCGATGTTTTGAATCTTTCAAAGTTTGAAGTTTCTTGGAACTCATAATTCGAATCTTGACATCCTTTGCAGTTCATCGAAGCTTTACATTTTAGATATCTGAATGATTCCCTGTTTATCAAAGTTTTAGAAGTTTTCGATGTTCTGATGTTTTTCAAACAGCAAGTTTTCGATATTATGAGGTTTTTTGAAACTCCAAAGTTTTCGAGGTTCCAAACATTTTGAAATTCTGAAGATTTCGTTATTCTGAGGTCTGTTTTGCAGGTGGATTTCGTCATTACTCTTCAAGGCAAACTCGAAATTAAAATCTCCTGATTTGGATTTCGAGTTTTTGCCTTAGAATTTTGTTTAAATTCACCTGCTCTCGAAATTCAACATCGAGAACCTCAACCTCGAAGATTTTCCTCAAAAACTCAAAATTAGAGATTTTCTGCGACTCCGCACTGTTTTGGCCATAACTTTTGACTCGGTGATCCGATTTGAGCAAACTTTTTTGTGTTGGAAAGCTAACGAAAAGATCTACATTAATTCTCGGGCTATGCCCTTGAACCCGATATCACGCGCCCTCACTCGCAGCCCTTGAGGGTCAAAACGTTAGTTTTCCGACAAACATTGTAAATCACCGATGTTCAGGTCAAAACTTAGGCAAATCTGTTCAAATTCTTTCAAAGTCAACCCTGAGGTCAAACATTTTCTAAACCTAACTGTAAAGGTCCGAAAATCGTAGATAATTCAATCAACCTCGCGTCAACGGTCATCTTACAACCATCAACAATCAACTACTGAATCCTCCCCTGACTCATCAACATTATGTGATCATCAATATGCTGAAATTCTACACGGTGAGCTCAGGAAACCGTCATGTGTGGTACATGTTCAGATTGCTCCACACACATGGCGGGTATGATAAGCTGTGAGCAATCAAACCTTGCACATTCTGAGGGGGAGTTTCAGTTTTCTCCTCCTGGCGCCTTACACCGACAAAGCAAGGAATCTCTCAAAGGATGCAACATTTTAGGGGGAGTGTTCAATGTTATCCTCCCCGGTGCCTAACAATGACAAAGCATACCGAGTGCTCCAGTTGAGGGGGAGTACAGAGAGAAAATGAGAAAGTAATGAGAGAACATGTCCCTATGGCTTAGTAAACCCAACTAAGCCTACCCAAGGGATAAAGCCGAGCGTAACTGCGTAAGTGAGCGAGTGAGTGAGTGAACATTATGAGCATTAGGAAGCAGAAGGCACGAGTGAGAAGGAAACAATTATCAATGATGAGTCTGCTACCTCAATTGCCTGCTATGAATTGACCATTTGCTCCTAGCCACTATAATACTCTGGACTATCCCCATAGGTTCAGGACTGAATTTATTCAGATCCCGGGTAGAAGTCGCTGCATTTTGTCCAAACGGCGCATGCACAACCCTACCCTAGACCACTCACTTGTCTCCCAACAGACAGGTGTTTAATCATATTTCACGGGGAACCGCATCTCTCATTACTACCTCCTTCCGAGGCAAGTAATACTGACTACAGTGGCCTCAGCCCCATGCCACTGAACTTTCATTGATCACGTCGTGTCTAGTTACTCACTTCCCAAATGTTTTGAAATTTTCTAGGACACAGACACATTTTAGAATCAGTTGCTAGTCTTCAAGACTTACGAGAACTTCCATAGGGCTCATCTATTACAGATGTAGACCAATAATTGGAAGGAAGTCCTGCTGTTGCAACATAAGAATCACCAACATTTTCAGGCCATTGCTTTAGAGTTTATCTCTATAGTGATGATAACGGGCGTCCTCACGACCCCGGGGGGCTACGTTATCTTCTTTACATTCTGCTTGTTTTTCCTGTTTCTATTTCTGCAGAATAAAAGAATAAAGGCATGATACCCCGAGTTATCGGATCGTCATGAGGGGGAGAGTGGTCCACATGCTGTTAACACTGAACAAATCATTCTGGGACACTTCTCTCCTCCAACACTCTCTCTACTATCTCCGCAACTCAAATGGTCAGCTACGCTCACAAATCAACCATCATTATGTTCCGCTGTGCCACCGACAAGTTCTCCTCAAATGCATTCATTCCAAATAGTCAAAAAGACTACATTGTGGAGGAGACAGAGGTCAAATACTCGTGTCCTGAAGACGAATTCCATGGGCGTCTCCTATTCTCCAAAGAATATTCATTCTAGAGGCGTCACCGGATTTCATCCAAGCTGATCAAGAGCAACTTCTGGAAGGCATGGACTACATGCAAGATATTGAAGATTCCTCAACCCCCGGCATCAAAGATCAAATTGTCAAGAAGACATCAAAGGGGAGATTGCAAGGATTTGTTCAGATAGCCTTCCTCAGAAGTCAAGTTCAAAGACAAAGGAAGCTCAATAACAACAAAGACAAAGATATCTGCGCTTCAATGCTGATTCAACACGATTGATCACCAAGGGGGAGATTGTTGGGAATATTTTATGGTGTTCAATCTAGTTAGTTATCTTTGTATTTGTGTAGTTATAAATTAAACGTGTAATACGGGCCACAAATGTGTATCAGCCCGTGGGCTTCCTTGTAACTCGTAAGTTAGCTAACTTCTCCTATAAAAGGAGGCTAACTTACGGGAACCCTAATTGATTGAGAGAGGCTGAGAGCGTAGAGGCGTAGAGATAGAGTGATTAGGGTTGCCGCTGCTCTCCTTCTCCAGGGAGAGTAGCGGCGGGTTTTTCACGGTATACCAGATTTGGGTTTTATCTTGTGGATTTCTTCCTATCTGCTTCTTTATCTTTGTTATGATTGTATGATTGTTAGTATTCAGAGATTAACAAGCCCCCAGCCTAACAACGGGAAAACCCCTCAGGACCCCTTAGCCCTCAACATGGTGGGAACCAGGAACCTCCCGGGCCACTCTGTGCAAACCCCCCGGGCCACACCGTCAAACCCCCTCATCAATGGTAGCCTCCGGCATAACCAGGATATCGAAAGGATGTCTTCGGCAAATCCACAAGCAAGCCCCAAATCAAATGCAGCCTTTGGCATTGGATTTATACTCTCACCAAGGGTTAATTTTTTCGATTCATCATTGGGGGAATTCGGTGCACTCTTTTTCCCTCATTAGAATTTTTCCCACAGGGTTTTTCCCTAATGAGGTTTTTAACGAGGCATCCCCCCAAAATGAAACGAAAATGGTCAGCCCTCGGCCACATACTAAGGACAAGCACCTGCTATACTCCTGTTCACCACATTACATGTGCCTCAAGGAGTTGGGGACTGGAAGACCCCTCCGAGAAAAATCTCAAAAATACAAAATGTCAAAATTTCCCTTCAGCCCCAAAGTGTAGGGGACTGAGGGACTGCCCTCGGCAAACACGCAAGCGCAAAACTCCTCACCACTTTTACAAACGACAACAAAGCAGCATCAGAGGACAAACGCAATTACTCCTTTTCCCTCAAGTACATTTCGGCAAAAAGAGTGAGGGAATCATGATGGAGTATATGGCACAGGGACCCCCGACCCACATACTTCCACTATCACAACCAGGCCCAACAGGCCCAAGCGGGCCAAGCCCAACAGGATGGAGCTCTAAGCAGCCCACGATGCATGAAGGGGTGCCTTCGGCCCAATGGCCGAAGGCTACCAGTGACAAAATTAGGGGTCGGCAACATCACGGGAGAATAAGGCTTGAAAACCAAGCCTCCGGCAATTGGAGCCCTCGGCACTATGAGACCCCCAGTACGCAGAGCCTTCAGACTGTCATCTACAACCGAAGGCATCCTCCTCAACAGAATCTCCCGTCCACATGCGCTGGATCACCGTACCAAGTACAAATGTCGCATCCAACCACCGCATTTAATGCGGCCACATGCGAGTGCTAGCGCCACCTCGGTAGAGGTGACCCCTCGACCACCAGAATGCTAACACGTGTCCCCATCTAGCATTTATTGCTACTATAAATAGCACCTCTTTCCCCATTGTAAACCACGCTCAATACAACTCAAATACACATTTGAACTCTTTATCTCTCTTACTTATTCACTCTGACTTCTCTCTAAATTACTCCCCGCAGTAACCCCTCGGATAAGCTACCCCCGAGTACACTATCCATCACCATGAAAACATACATAGAAAGTAGAAGTTAATACCTGATAAGTGATTAAGTAAATCCTTGAAATTAACTATGAATTTGTATTAAAAAATAAATAATTAACAGGAACAGATTACAGAAAACACAATTCCACAATAAAGCAAAAGTATAAACAATAAAGGATTGATCAAGTACAAGCGCACATGAAATTATTGATGAAGTAAAACATGAATTGAATTAGGAATTTATATACTCAAATACACAAATAAAAGCAACTAAAACATGGAAAACAAATTAAAATGTCATGCAAACATAAATTGATCAGGGATTGAAGAAGACTATTGAGAATTTGTCGAACTTTGATTTAAACTTACCACAGAGCTTCGAATTGAATAGATGATCTTCAATTGATGTGCGACAATGAAATGAAACGAGCTGATGAGAAGAACGAACGACATTTGAGGGTCGTTAAAAAATAACGAACAAGGTTATGGAACGAAAGTCGAAGACAGAGCAGATACAAGAATGGAGTTTGTGTTATAATTACGCGCAGAGGTATTTTAGGAATATGCAACACTAAGTCATTAAAATAGTCCCATTTAAATAATAAATCAGGGAGTAGTCCTATTTAGGAACTTTACTATTATTTTAATCCTATTTAGGGGCTAATACTTTTAAGTTTAATAATTTATTATTTAAAACAATAAAATTATTTCCAAATTATTATACTTATTGATTTGTACGATATATCTTCTAAACCTTTTTTACATGAATATTACTAAATTCAATTGAAAAACAAAAATGTGGTTTATTTTTGAATTTTCGTAAATAGTGACGTATTGAATGCCTAGTTTCCAGTAACTCATCATTTACCAGTGACATATTATTTTAAAATACACTATAGTGACTCTTGTTCAGTTACCCGTACATAGAAATTGGTCATATTTTTGTCTAAAAACATAACTTGTCATTTCTGTCCGATGCAACTCTAATAGTAATATACATGTCCTTTTTGTGTACTTTAATTTTAATTCTTTAAAATATACGTATTAAAAATGTGCGATAAGTCGAGAAGATATATTGTACAATAATTTGGAAGAAACTTTATTATTTTCAATAGTAAATTATTAAAATTAATTATATACGAATTATAATATACTCTGTATAAATAATCTTTATATATATAAAAAGGAAATCGCCTATCCAATAAATGTACCCACCTGAATTTTTTATCAGGGTACGCAATATTAGAAATTTAACTGTTCAATTCTTGACAGTTGCTAACGCAATATTAGAAACCACATTCACACCTCTATATTCATATTAAATAACCGCTTGAGGGATATTATATACTCCGTATAACTCTCTCACCATTGGATTCGTAAATATTTTTGAAGGTGTTTTAATCATTCATGTGTTATCCATGCCTATTTATAACCACAATTTTTTTAGTGATTTATCATTTATTTGCTACTAAATATGCTGATTATGTGTTACAGAGATGCTGCTGCAATTAGAGAAGATGATGTTCAACAAAATGAAATGAATGTCTTGAAAACAAAGGCAAATTAGGCACAAAGAGTGAAGCTTATCCACTTTTATGTTTTACCGTCATACAAGAATAAGAACGTTCAGAACTCCTAGAATGCTTTTTTTATGATGCTCAGGTACATTTTTTAATTTTTAATAAAACTTCGAGGATTTGTGTATTATTACAAGAAAAATTGGGGTGACAGAATTCATGGATTTTTCATTGAAAGTTGGATCAATTTCTGGATATTTATATGAAAATATTTTTTTCATTTGTTTTTAAGCATATATGCTACGCTAAGTAATATAGTTTCCCTTTCAAGACAATAACACGCTCACAATCTACGTAGTATGTTACTCTCTGTATATCAGATTGTAAAAGAAACCATACTTCGTGAAGCATTCTCCCTCAAAAACTAAAACTTAATAGTTTTTGAAGGAGAATCATTAACAGTTTTCTACTCCCGTGAACGGTTTACGATGTTTGACTGACGATAAAGCAACTTAATTCCTGTTCACACTCTGATTAGTTTTAGTAAATAAAATTAATATATTCGGAAACTACATTAAAGCCACTACAAAGGCTGATAAAAAAATGTAAATTTGATAAAAATTTGATTTATAAAGTAAACGATTAAATATGATTTAAGTTGACCATGCAAATAGTGGATGAGAAAAGCAGTCAATCAATCATTTAGCTTCCCCCTTCGTTTAAAAAATTAAAAGCAGTCACAGATAATCAAACTTAAAGCTGACTTGTGAGGAGTAAGACATTGCGTACAATTCATATAACAAAATGGAAGGAGCTAATACTCATTGTCGTTGTTAATTTCTTAATATGATCATGGAGATATTTAACTTCTTCAGATAATTTCAGATACTAATAATTCAATGAATGTTCCGGTAAACCCGCTTATAATCTGTAATCTCTATACATATTCTTTCAGAATGTACCCTATAAAGATGTTCAGGCCAAATGGGCAAGAAACCTGACCCGAATTCAACTTAAGGAAGAAATCTGATATAGGGTTCTGCATTCATCCCTGAGGCATAGCCATTAATGGAGCCAAAGAGTCAAACTTCAGACCCGACCGAGAAGACGAAAGAATTTGAGTAAAGGGAACCATTAAAGGATACATGAAGGGAGGAGAAGCCCATCTCACAACCGAAGAGAGACACTGTAAGGTTGAGATTGCCGATTGATTTAAAGGGATGGAACAGACATATCTAGGGTTTCTTTTGAATGTCTAATTACGGTGTTAACCCCCGTGGACTATTGCTTAGTTCAACTCTTTTAATCTCAATTATTCGTGGTTAAGGTGATGTATGAGTTATTCTACTGAAATTTATGATATTCTAGTTGAGGTGATGTATTAGCTTATTATCTTAATTTATATAAAATAAAATAAAATACTCCGTATATTTTATTAATAATATAAAGAAAAAATTATATACGAAAATAGTTAAAATAATTATCTACAATAATTTCAATCAATACGACCAGAAAAGTAACTTATGCCTTACTTTTTCTTACTATTATACAGTTTAGTGCGTGAAATCAAGTTATGTGTTTGATGAAAAAAATGGTTGATAAACCTGACAAGCCGAAAAATATGATTACCAACGGGCTCTTGAGAATTTATATCTTTGTTATGATTATTTTTGTCTGTGTGCAAACACATTTTACATATATTTACAAAATTTTCAATATGATTTTTTGACACAAAAAACTTCATCAAAATTTAGATAATACATATAATAAAGGTACTAACATAACATACTTCTTTCGTTCCTTAAAACTTGATCATGTTTGAATGACACGAAGATTAATAAAGTAAAAAATATGTGATTTGACTTCATGTAGAGGAGAGGGAATTAACTTGAGCTACAATTTTTGTACTTAAAATGAAAAGTGACAAAGTTAGCTAGAGAAGAAGTATAAAATTTTAAGTTGAGGTTTGTATAAATGAAAAACCGTTTGCTTGAGATTTTTGTAGAAGATAGTTGACAAAATTTTAAGTGAGAGTGGTATAAAATTTTAGTGATATCTCTGGTGACTCAATTTTTTTGTCTTGTTAATATATGAAAGACAATAAATACGAAAAACCATAAAGATGAGAAGAAAGAGGGACAAAAATCATTGGCAAAAGAAATGATAAATTTTGGAATTTTTAGAATGCGTTTAGTAAGATGTAAAATAATTACTTTGCATGCGAAGTGAAGGGACGTAAAACGTTTACACTGTTTGATTTGATTATTTAATGTAAAGTGTATGACATTTTTAAAAAATATTTGAACTATGTCATGTAAAGTATTTTTCGTGAGAAAGATGATAAAATACTTTACATACTTTTTTAAAAAGCATTATAGTGTATCATGCAAATTAAAAATAAATTACACATTTAGCTAAACAATGTAATCTATTTTATGTACATAGATTATTTTTCTCAACTTTGATGCAATCATTAATGTGTAAACAGTGACGAATGTGTTAGAACTTAGAAGTCCATTGTTCTTTGGACCGCGGCCCTAGAATTAACAGCCAGTTACCGAAAACGGACTCAATTGAGCCTTGGAAGGTCGCCGGGCAGTACGAGACTGACGGAGCTTCGTCGGAGACAACCTGGAACGTTCCTTGCTTTCTGTGAGGGCATGGCGATCGACACCGTTCCTCCACTCATCGCTGCTCAGCTCAATTACCTTATTGCTAACTGTCCATTCCCAATCAAGGTTCTTAGACCTATGCATTAAGAACTTTAGCTCACACGCACATACTCTCTTACTCACATTCACGCATATTTGAGCACGCAGTGATGAATTTTGAAGTGCATATTACAGGTAGAGCAAATGTGGGCAGGAGGCAAAAGCCCTGGCATGTGTGTTTTAGATCGCTTCACCTTAGCTATCCCTTTCTGCCTAGACTACATAAAATGTAGGTATTTTAGTATCTTCTATGCTTGTTTGCTTTTAATGTGATAAATAATGCCATAAATAATGTGGAAATGGATTTTTTTTTTTGTTTGAGCAGGGGATGTTATATACAATGCAGTGTATCCCCTCGTGCCACCAGATGTAATATTTGGGCCTGAGGATGTGAACTTTAGGCCATATCATAGTCCTGGTGATGCAGGGGAGAAGAAAAACGCATTGACTGACTGGAACAACAAAGACCCTTCTCGGCTTTTGTCACTCATTCTTGAACTTAGGTTATGGTCTATCATTACTTCGGGTTTGTCTTCAGTCTATTTTGGGGGTGACATGATTAAGTTTAGCGTTTTTTGTTTTCAGGGAGTTGTATATGGCTTATCATAGGAAACGAGTTGCAGAAGTTGATGATGAAAGGTTAAAGTTTGAATTCAGCACCATGCTTCCAAGGGAGGTTAGTTTTTTGATTGATCTTATATTCTTATGATATAGTCGGATAGTCCTAGTTTCCAGTTTCCAGTTTCCATTTACTTATTACTTCGTATTCTATTTTTTGCTTGTACTTTAAGGATGATTTAGCTTCAGTATTAGTGTTGTTTCCAGTTTCAATTTACTTAGTACTGGGTATTATATTTTTTGCTTGTACTTTAAGGATGATTCAGCTTAAATATTAGTGTTGTTTCCTGGATAATTAGAATTATTTGAAAGTGAAAAGTCTATATGTGTCTGCATAATAGGCTTTATGTTAATACGATTCTGGTGCTGGGCGTTCCTTTTCTGTTTGTACCTTGATTTAGCATATTGACTTGATAGACTTAGGTTTTTACCTGTTATTTGCAGGGGATTGAATATTTGTTGATTTGTGCAACCGACAAGGTATATCATGAAAACAAACTTCTTTAGTTACAAATTGAGGTGAACATGGTGTTCACAGTGCTTGACCCTTAGTGCATTTTTTTGCTCTTAATTTAGTGTAGCCAGAAGATGTTAAATTTTCCATACCTTTACTGGATTTGGATTTGAACAAAATGGTGGTTGGATCAACTTGGATGCATCAGCAGAAGATATATTTACAGGTTTGTCTCTGAGAGATTTATTTACAGTCCTTTCTGCTATAGACTCTTTTTCTTCTTATTTGTGTCTAAATTCCATTGTCCCCACTTCGCACGATATCATACCAAGCACCAAGCATAGCATTTTAATCCGGATTGATATGATCAATAAAAAATGATGTTTTGTTTGCTTCGGGAAAATGAATTTTATGGAAAGGCAACTTGGTAAGCTTTCCTAATTGAAGGGTGCATTAATTTTATTTGAACTAAGTGGCGAACCACACGTCCCATTAATAAACAATAGTGTTAGATGAAAGCTGCACCATTTTTTTAGATAAAAGTAGTACTAGAGTAATGCTAAGCTTTTCCTTCGTGCTCAAGTGTTTTGCTACTTTTTTTTCTCTAACTTTTTAATAACGCAACAGGTCATATTTCCAGTTGGCAGAAAATACTCAGCACCACGCCTGAAGCTGGTTTCAACTTCTGAATTAAAATCTCTATTTTCTGTTGATGACTTCAGGCTCCCCTCTTGGGTGGATGGAATGTACTTCACTACTACGTCATCATTTACCAGTAACATATTTTCTCCTCAAGATCTTCTTTTCTTTTATTTTCACATTCATATTTCTTCAACAGGTGCACTGCTGAATACCTTCCAAATTTAGAGGTCTTGCTTGCAACACAGGTTAGTTTATCTTCATCAATTTTTTTGGCAGCATGAGTGTATACCACTAAGTTGTATTTTTACATCACTAGAAGTAAAATTGTCATGTTTCACTAATTTGTACTTCTTACCTTTCCATTCCACGGTGATAGATTAAAGATGCAGTTTCATCCATTGAAACCAGAAGAAAATTCATTATGGCCTTAGCTCCTCTTTTGGGAAGACCACTAGAAGCCGATCCGGTGTGTAATATTTTTATTTACGCGCTGATGGAATTTGGTAATCAAGTTCTAATGTTGATTCCTTCTTTCTTCTATGCCTGCAGATTTTCTGCAAGAAGGCTAGCTTTCTAGCACAATCTGGGCTTTTCAGTTTTATGGTATGTTAAGGCCTCCTACAAACTTTACACGAGTTTATTTGAAAGAGAAAATTAGAGTAGTATTTCATTGAAGATTGAGATCCACTACATTTAGGGTCCGGTTGGAATAGTAATTACTTTCCATCCAGAAAAGAGTCACTTTCCAAACACTTGTTTGTCCCTCAAAAGAGTCTTGAGTTAATTCAAACAAAGTGTGTCAAAAGTAATTTATCAAATAAATTACAAAAAAGAGTCAGACAGGCTATGCGAGTTCAAAAACCAAGAAATATACATTTATGACAACTGCACCTTACCAAAATCAAATAGTTATACATTTATGAAGCACAACTTTTTCTGGGGAAAGAGTCACAGAGTTAGTATAATCTACACAAGTTTGAGGGAAGATTATTTTCATGCTTGTAGTTTCTGATCTCATCTTATGGTTTTGTTTTATATTATTAAATAATTAATCAGGTAAACATTTCCATTCCACTTCAGTTCCCCAAGCAACGTCCAAGCTTGGTGCTCCTGAGTACCCAGGTGTGTATAACCAATGTTTTCACCATTTGTGCTGTCTCTTTCCATTTGCATTTACAGTTTAACAATGTAATTGTTTCACTCAAGTCCCTCACTGATTTGTTAATTATTTCATTTCTGACTTATAAAAATAGCACTTCAACTCCCACAATGTGCCCATCAAGTCTCCCGCAATGACTGATTATCCATGGAGTCCTAGGTGGGAAACATCAGAAATGGCTGAGAGGATCTTGTAAGTCTCTCCCGTTTCATTTTTAGACCTGTTTGTAAGGTTCTCTTGGCCTAAAATATACTCATCATTTTCATTTACCCTTACTGTGGGGTAAGGGGGGTCGGATGTACGCATTCTTACCCCTGTACTAAAGCACATAGAGTGTTTCCGGATGACCCATAGTGAAAATCCCGTCCAAAATTGCATGAACTGACTGTTGCTTCATAACAAAGAAGCGCAGAAAGTTTAGTGAGTCATTTTGCTTTATTCCATCATAATCTCAAGCCAAAAAATAATGAATCTTTGGCTCCATTGCAAATGATGGAAATTGGCCTGAAATATACTCATCATTTTCATCATTTTCATTTACCCCAGTGCCGCAAAGGCTCCCACCTACGGTGGGGTAAAGGGGGTCGGATGTACGCAGTCTTACCCCTGCACTAAAGCACAGAGAGACTGTTGTTTCTGGATGACGCATAATGAAAATCGCGTCCAAAATTGCATGGACTGACTGCTGCTCCATAACAAAGAAGCGCAGACAGTTTAGTAAGCCATTTTGCTTTATTCCATCATAATCTCAAGTCAAAAAATAATGAATCTTTGTCTCCATTGCAAATGATGGAAACTGGCCTAAAATATACTACTTGATTTAAATATTTTTCTTCTCTTGGCCTATTGTGAATCTTTCTAGTATAATTTGAATGTTTATATTCTTGTCCAATTCTTTATTTTTGAAGTATAACATTTGGGCTGGCCAGATTTAAATTATTTTGGTCAGATTTGATGTGAATTAGGGAATACAGACTCTCTTCTTCTCAAGGCTAGGTTTTTACATTCTAATACAAGTTATTATGAATCAACTTGCAGTGATTTTCTAGTGGAGGAATGCTTGAACTTCAAAAAGTACTGCAATGAAGCAATACTCCTGCAACGCTGATGTTGTTACTTGACAACTAGGATGGTGGTTCACTTGTTCATAAGGTTAATGTATAATTTCATGCCTAGGACATATAACAAGTGTTTCTTTAGCTCTAGGACTTTATGAGGTTGTTTCAGTACGTTTTGTTAGATTGAGGACAAAAATGGTTGTATAAGAAATATATATATATATATATATATATATATATATATATATATATATATATATATATATATTTCTCTTCATCTCATCTCCCCACCTGTCTTGCCGTCGCTTAAGTTATCAAAACTAAATGCAAACACTTTTCTACCAAGCAATATTCAATCAAAGTTCTATTAATGAATATGTACATATAAATAATACGTAAGCAGTCTTCTTTATGCATTATCCATATGTGCATGAATAATGGTGAGATCAACATAAAGCCCAAACCAATGTGTGATATAATTAGTCTCAAATATTTTCAAAAATTGGCAACACGACCAGTAAAAAATCACGCAATCCAAAGAATTTATTGCTTATACTTCGTAGTCTAATGTTTGCTTGTTTTATAGAAGAAGTATGAAGATGAGGATTAAGAGCTTAGATCATCATGTCTAAATGTTGGGTTTTCAATCATATACCATCTAGGGATGGGCCGGGCCAGGCAGCCCAGGCTCCGGGCCGGGACTGAGCGGGACCGGGACTAAAAATTTCAGTCCCGGTACAGGCCCAAGTTTGTATCGGGACCGGGTCGGGCCAACCCCTCTCAGTCCATCCCTTATACCATTCTATTCATTTGGACACATTTTGTTTATTAAAGAGATTGTTTCAAATAGGAGTAAAAATGCAGTGTACAAATACGAGTACGGATGTTTTTACTTGGACTGTAATTTGCAGGTCTGGTCTGGTCTGGTCTGAACTGGTCTGGTCTGAACTGGTCTGGTCTGGTCTGAACTGGTCTGGTCTGAACTGATCTGGTCTGGTCTGGTCTGGTTTCTTTGTATTTTTATAACTATCCAAGTCTGGTCTGGTCTGGTCTGGTCTGGGATGAATTACAGTCCAAGTAAAAACATCCTAATTATGTTTTATTCCGGAATGTAACTTCTTTGGTTGTATTAAAAGCATAAAACTTCACCGATTACGAGTCAATGAGTCCTATTTTAGAAAGAAAATGATGATAATCTTATTTGTGCATTTTGTCTAAACTTAAATCATCGAGGAATTTTCTCATTATCAAATGGATTGTTGCAGCTGCGGACAAATAATTGAGCATGACTAGAAATCTAGAATGTGTGAGCTTTTTGCAAAGCCCTTTGCTTTTGGTCTTTGAGTCTCAAGGAACATGATCAACAGTTCAAGTGTTTCAGTACCATGACATATTGTCCTTGAGTTTCTAGTGAAATTTCCCCATGAAGTGATGAAAAAGATGACGCATATTAATTTTGCCGCTTAACCTTGTGAGCTACTTATCATATCTTGCACTCGGTAGTTTGTTCTTCTTTAGCTTCCATGCTATTGCTTTTAGGGCACAGTTTTATTTTTCATGATCTATCAAATAAGACCAATATTGCTTATGTAATTTTAACAAATTATTTTGAAGTTACATTTGAGAATATATCATGAAGTTACATCTTCTTCTGCGCGAGTTACATCTTATTGTACGCGAGTTACATCTTAATGAATGTGAGTTACACCACTAAATAAACCCCTACTACATCTTTCATTTTTATCATTTGAATCATAGTGTATGAATATGAAATACAATTTACTTATTTTATGTGGATTAATAAAATTTTGTATTAAATTGGCAAAGAAAAAAATTAATTCAGTTATATAATTGAATTAGTTCAAGATAAAGATAAGTAAAAAATCACAAATAATTAGATATAACTCACACATAATTACATGTAACTCGCGCATAAAAGTATGTAACTCGTGTATAACAAGATGTAACTCACACATAACAAGATGTAACTCACACATAACTGCATGTAACGCGCGCATAAAAGTATGTAACTCGTGTATAACAAGATGTAACTCACACATAATAAGATGTAACTCACACATAATAACTTGTAACTAGAGTATAAGATGATGTAACTTCATATATTATCAAATGTAACTCCAAGCTAGAAGCAAAATAAACAAACTCAATATCTTAAAAACCTCTAAAAACATATAAAAGTGATAAAAAAATATATTATAGAAAAAGTGTATGCATATAAAAATATACGGAGTATTACAAAAAAATGTATGAATGTAAAAAATTAAAATTACATAGGCAATATTGGTCTCATTTGAAAGATCGTGAAAAATAAAAAATTTTGATATAAATTTTATAAAAATCGGATAAAAATAAAAAAAATTATTAACAATTTTAAAAAAAGGAGAAATAAAAAATAACAAAGTGTGCATGGTGCTCACCATGCACCAGTTCCACGATATAAGCACTGCTTTTAGGGATGTTTTCTCACTTCATGAATAGCACCACGAACATGCCAAAGACACCAATATGGCATTCAATGGTAATGTGAGGTATATTGAACAAATACCCGCACGGGTAGCTCAGTTGGTTCAGTGGTGGGAAATTTGGACCAAGTGACCAAGGTTCGAAACCCGCAGCGGCCGTGTGGAGGTCACAGAACCTGAAATAATGCTGGGCCTCTGGTGCGCACGGGAAAAATGCCTACCATCATTGGGTCGACTGAGTCACCGTGATTAACATCCTCCCAAAAATCATGTCGGGTCGGGGTATGGGGGGGCTCCTGGGGTGGGAGATCCCACCTTTTTGGACCAAGGTATATTGAACCAATGTATAGTATACAGAGTACTCCCTCGGTCCCTTATAATTTTGCCAACTTTCCTTTTTTAGATGTCCCACTAACTTTGTCACTTTTCTTTTTAAGTAAAGAATTTGTGGTTCCAGTTAATTCTCTCTCCTCTGCACAAACCTCAACCACACAATTTTTACTTTATTAATCCTCGTGTCGGTCAAACTAGGCAAAGTTATTAAGGACAGATGGAGTAATATAATGAAACGTGTGTAGTATGGATATCAAAGGTTAGACTTAGATGCAATAATAGTATAAGAATATACTTTAAGTGATAGCATTGAAAATAAATATTTAAATATAACTCTGCATAAAATAAGTATGAGAAATTTAGTAATGTGTAGGAGATAATGGGCGTGTTTTCCATTTAGCGGTTAGTGGTTAGCAGATAACGGATTATCTTAGCAGATTGTCAATAGCGAATTCGGTCAGCGTTTTTAACTAGTAGAATAAGTTGGCGGGTTGTCAAAAGATAATTGGTAATTTAGCTGTTTGACCATAAAATTAGTAGAAAACGCCATATTTCAAATTGTTAACCCAAAACTCTCCTATTTGCAGCATTTAATTTCAGTGTTTTCGTCCAAAAAAGCTTGTGCTAAACAACTATTTATCAAACTGCTTTTCACTTATTGAAAACGTTAAAAGTGATCAAACGTCATTTTTAGATTGAAACGCCATTTACTAAACACCCCTAACATTGCAAGGAGGGTGAAAGAATCTTACATTTATACAACATACTAGTACAAGATATAATGAAGGTATAATAGTGTATTTAATTACTTATATGAGAAAATACCCCATCATATAAAATATTAGTGAGTAGGTTGTAAAGGACCGTCGTTAGACAGCTACAATCTACATAGTCACATAGAGGATAATAAAAGAGAGAAATTTAAAAAGTAATTATAAATTTAGATGTTTTATTATTTGTACATGTCAATTAGTCACATGATGACGAAAATTTATCACATTCCACATGTGAAAATGAATAAAGCAACCAAATGTAAGAAACATTTGTGGTGTTATCTATTTATATATAAGAAAGCAAATAGCTCATTAAAAGACAATTATACCCTTAATGAATCACATGTGTCAATCTCTCCATAATTTACTCCTTTATTATACAAATGACACATGACTATCTTAAAGATAAATACGGAACACACAATAGCAAACGAAAGCAGCATCTTCTTCTTATTGTATAAAAAAAGTTGCATCATGTGGAGCCCAATGTTTTAAAAAACTCCATTTTCTTTAAAGTGTATATCTTTTTCATCATTTATGTGATGTATATAAAAAATATATCAAAGTTCATTATTTTTAACAATCTTTCATATGACATCAATATTCAATATATAAAATTTAAAATATATATATGAGGTTATTTTAATGTTTTCATTGTTCCTCTATTTTTTTGTTAAATATAGTATCAAATTTCATAAATATCAGTATTGTCATTGTAAATTCTTTATCTCATTTGTAGTGCTTTTGGGGTATTACAAAATAAGTTTAATTTGCTAACAATTAATTGCATGCAATCTTTCTCTCTCATAAGTAATCTTCTAAGTATAAGATAAGCCGGTAAACAATTGAGCGAAAACACTTTTTCTCTCATATGTAGTGCTTTTAAGTAAGATAAGTCGACTAACAACTAAACGGAAAAAATTTTCTTTCTCACATGTAACGCTTTTAGGTATCAGAAGATAAACTTGCTAACAATTGAGTGGGAGAACTTGATCTCTCATAAAGAGTTCTTTTAAGTATAAGATAAGTCGGTTAATAATTGAGCGGAAGAACTTTTCCTCTCATATGTAGTGCTTTTAGGTATAAGAAGATAAGCCGACTAACAATTGAGCAGGGAAATTTTTCTCTCATAAGTAGTACTTTTAGGTCTTACAAGATAAGCTTGCTAATAGTTGTGCGTGAAAGCTTTCTCTCTCACTACATGTAGTTCTTTTTAAAATTAGATAAGTCGGCTAACAATTGAGCGGAAGAATTTTCTCTCTCTTATATGTAGTGTTTTAGGTATAAGAAGAAGATAAGCCAACTAACAATTGAGCTAAAGAATTTCTCTCTCATATGCAGTGGTTTCAGGTACAAGAAGATAAACTTGCCAATAATTGAGCGGGAAAAATTTCTCGATCACATGTAGTGCTTTTAGGTATTAGAAAATAACTTTGCAAACAATTGAGCAGGTAATTGAGCGAAATAATTTTCTCTATCATATGTAGTGTTTTAGGTATTAGAAGATAAACTTGCTACCGATTTAGCAGGCAAATTGAGCGAGCTAATTTTCTCTCTTACATGTAGTGCTTTTAGGTGATTGAAGATAAGCTTGCTAACAATTGAGAGGATCAATTTTCTCTTATATGTAGTTATTTAAGTATAAAAATACGTCGGCTTACAATTGAGCGGGATAATCTCTCTCTCATATGTAATGTTTTTTAGGTATGAGGAGATAAGAATATAAGTTTTCTAACAATTTAGCGAAAGAACTTTTTCTCTCATATGTGGTTCTTTTTAAGTACGATAGTATAAGATAATCCGGCTTACAATTTAGCAACAAAATTTATCTCTCATATGCAGTGCTTTTTGGTATAAGATAAGTTAGCAAGCTATTGAGCGGGGTATTTTGTCTCTCATATATATTGTTAAATTAGTTTCATCCTAAATTTTCAAAATCTATTTTTTTTTTAATTTTTTACTAAAAGATAATTAAATATAGTGTCGTAAAATTAATACCGCCTCTGTTCTTAAATAAATGCAACATGCATGTGGAATTTTACATTATTCACATATTCTACTTTGACTACGTTTTATTTATATGTATCAATATTTTACTTTAAAAAATATATTTTTAAATTAGTTTCATTCTAAATTTTCAAAATCTGTTTTTTTTTAATTTTTTACTAAAACATAATTAAATATACTAATGGTCAAAGTTGTGCATTGACAAACGTGAAAAATTGATCGTTGCATTTATTTAAGAACAGGGGTGGTACATGATTTTAATAAATGAAGAAATTGAGATCATTAAATTCATTTTTAACCAAAATCAAAATATACCTTACTGTAGTCCCATCGGGAAGATTTACACAATCACTCTTTCATTTGTGCGAGTGTTTCACACATTAGACAAATACTCACTACTACTACCTCCGTTCCTATTTTATCTTCCAACCCACTTTGGCACACAATTTAAGAAAAGTGGGTATTGTGTGGTGGAGAGTTGTGCAGAGGAGAGAGAAATGTGTAAGAAATGTTGTGAACCACAAATTCTTTACCAAAAAGGGAAAGTGGAAATTTAATTGGAACGGACGAAAAAGGAAAATTGGAAGTTTATTTAGGAACGGAGGGAGTATTAAAGAACATATCACATCATTATAGACTTTGTCTTATACAATTTCCAATCATGTACATCATATATTTCAATTGAGAATGATGACCAACCATGATGCAACTTTATCTTTACAACTTTACCATGGTTAGTAACAACATATAATTGAGCAGAAGAATTTTCTCTCTCATATATTGTGTTTTTGGTATAAAATAAGTGAAATAATAAATGAGCGTGATAATTTTCTCTCATACGTAATAATTTTAGGTATAAGAAGAGAAGATAAATGAACTAATATTTGAACGGGAAAAACTTCCTCTTATAAGTAGTTGCTTTAGATAAACTAGACAAGTGGACTAATAATTATGGGGGATATTTTCTCTTACATATGTAGTGCTTGTAGCTATAAGAAGATAAACAAACTAATAATTGATCAGTCGAATTTTGTATCTCATATGTAGTGTTTTTGGTACAAGATAAGCGGACTCATAATTGAGCGGAAATTTTTTGTCTCTCATATGCAATGCTTTAGGTATAATATAAGCGGACTAATAATTGAGCGGGAGAATTTTCTCTCTCATATATAGTGCTTTTAGGTATAATAAGAAGACAAACGGACTAATAATTGAGCATGAAAATTTTCTATGTGATACGTAGTGTTTTAAGTATATAAGATAATCGGACTAATAATTGAACGAGAAAATTTTCTCTCTCATATGTAGTGAGTTTAGGTATAACAAGATAAATGGATTAATAATTGAGCAGAAGAATTTCCTCTCTCATGTGTAGTACTTTTAGGTCAGAGATAAGCCGACTAAAACTTGAGCAGTAGAATTTTCAGTCTCATATGTTGTACTTTTAGGTATAAGATAAGATAAGACGGCTAACAATTCAACGGGATGTGTTTCTCTCTCATACGTAGTGCTTTTATACAGAGTATTAGGTATGAGATAATTCGGCTAAAACAATTGAGCGGAAGAATTTTCTCTCTCATACGTAGTGATTTTAGGTATAAAGAAGATAAACCGTCTATAACTTGAACGGAAGAATTTTCTCTCTCATATGTAGAAGTGGTTTCGATAATAAGATAAGCTCATAAGCCAGCTAAAAATTGAGCGGATGAATTTTCTCTCTCATACATAGTGCTTTTAATTATACGATAGGCCGACTAAAACAATTGAGCGGAAATTTTTTCTATCTCATACGTAGTGCTTTTAGGTATGAGAAATATAGGTATATAAATAAGCCGACTTAAACAATTGAGCGAGAAAATTCTCTCTCTCATATGTAGAGGTTTTAGGTATAAGAAGATAAACCGGCTTAACGTGCAGATGATTGGACGGGATAATTTTCTCTCTCATACGTAATGATTTTAGGTATAAGAAGGTAAGATAAGATGTGCAGACGAATAATTGAGCGGAATAATTTCTCTCTCACATGTTATGCTTTTAGGTATAAGATAAGATAAAAAGATTAACGTACACATGATTGGGTGAGATAATTTTCTCTCTCATACTTAATGATTTTAGGTATAAAAAGAAGGTAAGATAAGATGTGCATACGAATAATTGAACGGGATAATTTCTCTCTCATATGTAATGCTTTTAGGTATAAGATAAACAGATTAATAATTGATCGGGAGAATTTCATCTCATATTTTCTCTCTCATGACCTTTTAAACGTATGAGAAGACATTTTTCTATAATTATCACTAATGTTATGACAAACAATAAATATCAAGCTCTATCACTGCAAAATATAAAATATTCCTACCTAGACGTATTTTTGTCATGTAAAATTTATATATGTGGCGTTATAGAGAGCGTTTAGAAGACACGGATTAATGGTTTTAATACTACGTACATGATAAGAAAAAAAATCACAAGTCACTATTACCATAAGTTCTCTTTAACGTAGTTTTTCAAAACATTAACAATTAAGTTCAATATTTAACTCCGTTACCAACATCACTAATTATTGATACGTAGTAAATTTTAATGGATGATGTCAATTTTTTTATATTTTAATTTCTTTTACTTTGAATATTTGTTGTATGGATTTATGCTTTTTTATATTCACTTATCATACTCCATTTTTGATGAAATGAAGTAAATTGTAAGAAAAAAATCTATTTTTATATTTAATTAGATCGTGAATAAAAGTATACGTAGATCAACCGTTTTTCCAACAAATTAAAAGTAGTTAGCTTCATTAAAACTACACCGAGGGCTATATTTACAAATCAACCATAGATGAATTCCAAACCTTTTTAAACCAACCACAACCGGACCAACAAATTAGCTGTTTTATTCCAGTTCCACAATAGAAAGCCAAAAATCGTATATGAGCAAAAACTCCGGTTCGGTCGGGAAACCGGATCGAGTCCGAATATACTTCATATTTTTCAAAGGAGTGCTCATGAAAGTATACACATATATATACACCTTCAGGTGGTTGGAGAAGGAGGGAGTCGCCTGACAACGGCCGAATCACTCGAAAAAGTGCCACTTGAGCGACAGAGCAGACTTCGAGTTCCCCGAAAAAGTTGACGCCGTTGGCACCGCTACCTGCCGGAATATTCTGCTTCCTGAGGTATTTTATGGATCTCTATTTCTCCATCTTCGTGGAAGTCAATATGTAGGGACTCATTGATGCTTGATTCTATTTCTTCACCGTTTAAAGAATGACTAATAAAAAGGCGTGGACTTTGTAGCCTTTTGTGCTTTCTGGGCTAAAAACTCAGCGAGCAGCCGATGATTGATATTCTTACAACGATAACCTCATCAGAGTGCTATTATTGTAATATTCAGTAGGCCTTTTTGGTGCACTGCTAATTGCTGTTCTTCGTCCACTTAGAGTTTATGATTAGAGGGGTTTGAAAATTTCGGCCAAAGCATAAAATTTTAACACATTTTTATTTTTTACAGATATGTGTACATATATATGCACATCATAATACTGTTTCTGGGTGACGAAGCTCTTCCAGAGTTCCAGCCCTCCCTGCCCGTGTTGAGTCCAATTATGATATATACGTAGTATCTGTCAATATTAAGTTTAATCTCCGCTTAACTCTTAGCTTTTGCTCCATAAAATAAAAGAAAAAGTGTTCACGTGCTTTTTATTCATACAGAAATGTGTATTATGATGAATTTTTAAGAAATTTTATTTCCCTAAATCATTATGGTATCAGTATCACTTTCCTACTTTCCCAAGTCGCATATGGAGTAAATTTTTTCTTGATCACTTGGATGGGGATTCTCGATTGAGCGAGTGCCGTATTTCATAATACAGAGTATGATTTAATTATTGGAATTCAGTAATATTCTAGAACCTGAATACATTTAACTTAAATTTAGTAAATAGATTTGGTGTTGATAACAGAGGTGGTATTTTCTCATTATCTCTCTCTAAGATATTTATATTGTCTATAGATATTCTGTTTTCTCTAAGATATCTAACAGATAGAGATGTTTTCATTTTCAGATTAGGCACTTAGGTTCAGACAGGGGGATATGCCTTATCACGTTCGAGAAAATCTGTTGATTGGTAACATAAATGATGCTGCTGAGATTCTTCAACAAGGCAGCGAACAAATTACACACATATTATCAGTTCTTAGTTCGCCTTCAATTTCAACTTTCACTGAATGGCGTAGTGAAGTCGTGATCCCTACCAAGGAGATTCGTAAGGTTTATTTTGGAGATAATGCCACTGCTGAGCCAAACAATTCTCTATCATCCCGGAAGCTTCTATACTCATTGGAGTATGCTGGGAAAGATCTAAAGTTTGTGAGGATGGCAGTATCTTTAAGAGACATGGAGAGTGAGAATCTGCTGGATTATTTGGAGGTGTGTTTGGATTTCATTGAAGAAAGTAGAAAAAAAGGGTGTGTACTTGTGCATTGCTTTGCTGGTGTCTCAAGAAGGTGCCTATTAAAATTTATGTCTGAAGTTATATTGATTTCGAGGAATATACCTTAGTCTATCAAGATAAAAGAGACCATTGTTTCTAAAGATAAAGCTCATGCTATGTTGATTTATTATTATTGGCCAAATATCCCAAAATGAACTTAAAATTTCAATTAAAAATCAAAATTGGCCCTAAATTATCGAGTGTCCCATAGGCCTCTAGTTTTAGTAATATAACTCAATACCAACAACAAGAACAATTGCAGTGGTTAAAGAGGACATTATACTTCCAAACTGTTGATATGCTTTGGGCTGAATTATTTGGATCTAGGAAGTGTGTTTATCATTTTAGCTGGTCTTCTTCGCATATACCTTTATTGACGTTACTAATTTCTCTATTGTGTTTGAGAAGCTTGTGTGCAGATTGCATAGCATGTCCGAAGCCAATCTGGATTTTATTTTGAAAGTTTATGATCATCATTAATTTATTTTTAGTTAGTTTAGGAGCTAAATAGGACACTTGATGAGTTCAGGGTCAAGCGTTGTTAAAAGTTCAGGGTCAACTTTGGTATTTAGCCATCTTGGAAGTTGGAACTAATAAACTGTCCCACAATGGCACCATAAGTCCAAAAGTTTGTTTTGTCACAATCTGTATCTTAAGTCTAAAGTTGATGGTCAACCACATTTTATTAGGTGTCTTGCCCCTATGAGCTTTATTTGCATGTTAGTCCATGTGACATGTTTATATTTCTTCTGAGGACTGATGATAAAAGATTTTTTTTAGTTGACTCACTGATTTGGCAAAAGTGTGTTTCTAATGAGTATTTTGGTTGTCTGTCTTGTTGTTCGAGATCATAGGGAAAGCAATCTCATTTAGTCACACATTATAAAATGTTAACACTCAGTATTTTCTATTGTGTTTTGGCGCTAAATAGCATTTAGTCTGTTCTTGAGAAATTGTATTTCTTTTCCCCTGGGATTCATTTGGAATGCAGAAAATGCTAGGTAATGAAATTATGGAGGAAATGCAGAAGTAATTAGAAGCAAATCAAATGTTGAGGAAATAAAACCTTGTCTCAAACTCAATAATTTTATTTTCAAAATTTGTTTGAATTCATTATTTGTTTATATATATCATATAAATATTATGCAATCTATAAACATATGTAAAATAATTAAAAAAATGAATCAAACTTCATTCTCCTTTGCATTTCCGTAGGTAAATACAAACACAAAACAGCTTTCATTATCATTTCCTCCCTTTCCATATCATTTTCCAAGATCCAAACACAGCCTTAGTTGTCATATTTTGGCTATTTGTTCTAACTTTCCTTATTGGGAAGAATTTATCTAGTTTTGCTAATTGAGGTTGATACTTTATCTTGTTAAGCTTGTTGGTTGTTCGGTCCCATTAATGGTGCAGCTTCTTCTCATCTCTCACCAAAGAAACATCGGAAGCAAGCACTCTAAATTTTGTATCGAGGATGAGAATTGAGGAGATATATTCCTGTTTGACTTGGAGTCTACATTTTCCATATGTGCCTATTCAGTAAATGCGTGCCAAATCTGTTGCACTTTTGTTCTCTCATCACCCTCATGTTATTTTCCCATTTCTCTTCCAATTAGAACATTCTCTCTTGATGCATACATATTCTCCCATCCTGCTTTGACAACTATGACAATCCCTGGGGATTAACATCCTTCTTTCCATCTTCTATAGTGCATCCATGGTTGTAGCATACTTGATGAGATCTGAACAGCTGCCATATAAAGGTACTATTTAATAGTAAATTTTTGTACCTTTCGGGCTTGTTTGGCTTGGGGATTTTGGAGGGAGGGGGGGATTTTTTTAAAAAATTTTAAGTATATTTGTTAGTTTCAGAGTAGAAATAACTATATGGTTAGTATTATGTTCTTATATAGTTTTTTATCTTTACTTTTTTTTGTCATCTAAAAGTCAAAATATTTTTAAAAAATAAACCCCTTCCCTCCCCTCATAAACCCCAAATCAAACCCTAACGGTTTATTGGGCATTTCGTCATGGTATGTTGCTGAGATGGCCCAATAAACCTTAATATAGTAAACAGTGGTTTTAACAGGAGGGACAATTTTATATAATACTCGTAATAAGAATAGAGGAACTAACTTTACAATTTCCGAAATACAAGTCCCAAATTACTTAATGTTAGAGGCTAGGAGTCCAGTTATCCCTATTTTAAACTTCAATATTTGTGGGGCTTTTAACATCTTATTTATGATATTCTTGAAAGAGAAGACAAATTGCCCATCATTTGTGTTTATTATGCCCATTCACTCAGACTAACATGTCCTGCTTCTTTTCTCCTGATTCTGAAGATGCCATTGAATCTCTATCTCAAAGCTGCGAATCTGTTTGCCCAAATGATGGTTTTGTAGATCAGGTGATTTATGACCTCACAACTCATTTATCTTATGCATGTTTCTAGCAGCTTCTCAGTGACGTGAATTTTTAGTAATTGTTTCTATCCTGTGGGCCACAGCTGAAAATGTTTGAAGAAATGGAATTCAAGGTTAATCGTGCCAGCCCCATATACAAACGCTTTCGTTTAAAACTACTAGGTCCATTTTCTTACCTCATTTATCTACGAACTTTATTCATATAAACATTATTATGCTTTTCTGTCATGTGACTAAATGCTTTTAGCTCGTGCACTAGTATTTTCCTTCTTGAGTTTCTTGATATTTTTCTCTTAAGCCATTTTGTCTTATTATTAATTTCTTGAATGTTAACATCTGAAAAGTTAGACTATACAGACCAAACCCGCGTTGGCAGGGCCGGCCCGAACATATTGAGGGCCCTGTTCAAAATGTAATTGGAGACCCTAAATCATAAAATATATGAAGTCAAATTAAAGCAAGCATTAAGAAAAGTGTAAGAATATTTTGCATAAACCTAGCTATAATATTTTATTTTCTTAACAAATAAAACATCATAACTCCCAAAAATATATTAGCCGTGCTTATAAAAAAGAGTCGGGCTACCCGAGAAGATTAAAGACATGAAAACAGAGTTTATTGTACATATGCCCATGAAGAACATGCAAGTACATTACAAAGATAGATAAAATATTGAGGTGTGGAAGTAGTGTTGTACGGTGCAGAGCTCAAATGTGAAAGGCCGAACTTATCTTTTTGCTCCACTTCAGATTAAGATTTTAGCAGGAATCTTAGGAAATTATTTGACAGAAAGTGTTTGGAGAAAAAGATTCAGTAGAATGGATTTGACAAAGAAATTAATAGAGCTTAAATTGGTCGGGCCACTTGGTCGTCAATCAAAATTTTGTAAATCTCTAAGTTGTATGTTTTACGAGGAGTCACGATTGACCATGATGATTTTTTCTTCCGAAGAGCCGCTTCGTTCATTCTTCCATAAGCATAATATTGAGGGTTTCTAAATATTAAATGTACCAATCATTTTTTTGCTCCAACTAATGGTACTAACGTATGAATTAAAATTGGGGGCCCTCCTTTAGTGGAGGCCCTGTTCCACCGCACCACTTGCACTCCCTTAGGGCCGGGCCTGCGCGTTGGTAGCTGTTGGAATTGATATATGCCATAAGCCCATAACATGTGTGAACTTTTGACATTCCTAAGATGAAATTACTTTTATCTGAGTTCATCTTAACTGATCTCAAACTCTTTTGGGACTAAGGCTTGGGTGTTGTATTTTTTTTCTTCAAGAAAGTGTCCCAAACACTCAAACAGTTTGATATTTACAGTGGCTAGAATTGTATGGAGTATGTAGTTACAAAATAAAGGTCGCGCTAGGACTTAGAACTGATTATTTAAAGAGAAAAGGGTCAAATAAGGCCTTCTACTATTATGAAATAGTCACATAAGGTCATGTACTCAATAAAGTGTCATATAAGTACCTCTACTTGTAAAAAGCAATCAAATGAGTCCTAATGACCTATTTAACACCTCTTAATCCCGGTTTCAACGTACTTCTGACCATCTTTTTAGAATACATTATACGGCATATGTCGAATATTTAACTAAGATTGGCTGAAGTACAAGTCAAAAAAATCAACATGTAAGCTAAAATCGGGATTAGGAGGTGTTAAATAAGCCGTTAGGACTCATTTGATTGCTTTATACAAGTAGAGATACTTATATGACACTTTATTGAGTACATGGTCTTATGTGACTATTTCATAATAGTAGAAGGCCTTATTTGACCCTTTTCTCTTATTTAAACAGTTGCACCTTGCTAAACATAAAAAATACTCCCTCCATCTCAGGAAGTCAACCTTTTGATAATAATAATAATAATAGTATTAGCTATTATAATAAAGTGTATTCCAGAAGGAAAGGGAATAATAAGTAGCTAGCTGAATTGTATTTGGGGGGTCGGGTGGACTTCTATAAATAGATAGCTAAAGGAGGAATAAGGAGGCTGTTATTTTGGTATTGGGCTGGGACTGGAGAGTTGACATCTCTTTAACTGTCAGGGCACTTTCTCTCTCTTTTCTGTTGTTCGAGTAACAAATCCTGTTCACTGTTCATCTTCGTTCCTATTGTTTGCTAGAATTCTCTGTAATTCAGTTAGATACCTAAGATTGGTATCAGAGCATCATTCTGGCACCTGATCATGGCCGTCAAAAGAGTAAAGAGTAAAGATTGGATATTGAATTTGGAGGAAATTGATTATGAGATGATGGAACGTAGTTGGGAAAGTTGGGAAAACGACCTGGAGAGGAGTCGCAAAGATAAAAAAGTGACGAAGAACCCTAATTACCAAACACTGGTATCGCTTATGGAGGAATGCGAGTATGAAAGGATGGAAAGTAGTTGGGAAAGCTGGGAATGCGAACCAGAGAGGAGACACAAATATGGAGAAAAGAAGGAGAACGCCTTTGGTTTGTGCGAGAACAGGGAGAAGCGCCTCTCTACACAAGGCGGAAAGGAACCGCGCAGAAAATTGGAGAAGTTCACGGAAAAGGTTGAGCGCAGAAAAAAAGAGAAGCTCGCGGAAAAGGTTGCGTGAAAAAGTAGAGAAGCTTGCGGAAAAGGTAGAAAGTGACTGGGAGAAGGAGAGGAGGATCTGGCTAGATGAGATGCGCGAACTAATCTTGCAAAGAAACAATCGGCACTCGCGAGGAAGATCGAGGACCATCAAAAGATGTTGGAACTCCAAAAACAAGAGCAGTTCGGAGTCGCGCCTTGAATTTTCCAGTTTGCAGAATGTGTCGCAAACAGCTTGTCAACCTTCGCAGACTTCGACGAGTTCACAGAGCTCGTTGCTACTTGATTCGCTGAGTTCGCAAACTTCATCTCAGGCGATAACTGTTTCTACCAGTTCGCCTTTACCAACCGAGAATCACCTATTGTCATCGCAAGTCTCTTTTTCAGAATCTGGAACCAATATTTTCAAGATTCTTCAGGTATGTGATTACAGGAAATGATCTGGCCAAATGCTTTAAAATCTGAAATGATGTACTGTCATTCATTAAACATTACTTTAGAAGGAATGAAGTCATTTAACAAGTTTGATAGTTTCAGATGTGAGGGTGCTACTTTTATAAGATATATTCTAAATGAGTTGGGGGTAAGAGTTATTCAAAATTGGAAGGAAAAGAAGGATTATGCTACGGATGATAAAGCTGACATGTTTCTGATGCTTAACAATGAAAACAGTCCTGCTATCTTCCAAGAGGCCTTGATAATTGGTTTAAAAGGGATCAAGATATTCAGAACAATAGAGAAGGATTGGGAAATGGGTGACAGTCATAACCAAACCATTAAGGGTGAAGGTGTTGTATTATTCCGGGGCAACTTAGCAAGGAAAAAGGGGATGACAATTAAGGGCTACAGTTTGATATTTTCTGCAATTCGGGACTCATCTGATTCGGGACTGGAAGGGGCTGATGAGTTTTCTCTTGAATACCAGTCGGGTGAAATCTCTAGGGAAGGTTGGAAGAGAAAAGAAAATACAAACGTCGAGTACTTGATGGCTTTCAACACACTTGCTGGAAGATTTTATGAGTTAACTGAGTGTCATGTGTCTCCTTGGGTTCTGGCGGATGGTCCAATAGAATCTCTGGTTTTGATCAAACCGTCTACTTACCTGGATCTTGCAAAACCAGTTGGAGCACCAAGTCCAAAACAAAATGGAGAGCAAACAGGTGATGTGGTGATCCTTCGAAGGGTTAATAGTTTTCTGAAAGGAGTTATAATCAAGCACAGGGCGACCTTTGAAAGTGAATATGTTAGCTCAAATCTTCAATATTGGATTGATGTGATCTTTGGTAATAAACAGTGTGGGAAACCTGCAGTGGAGACAGCAATCATATTGAACACTCTTAATCACAAGACAATGGAAGAAGGGCACGAGATGCAGTTGCGGGGAAAAGACTTGTGCACATGGAGGGGGCCTGATGGCAGTGGGCTGAGTTCTGTCTTATCTTCCTGGGTTGCTGATGTGAAGACTGAGACTTACAGTCCTGAAGTTGACTTTGTATTCTCTGTAGGGGTGGTAGCACTTGGTGCTGACCAGGTTTTAGTGAAGCATCATGTAACCGTGCCCTTGCTTCAGCTGCTTGCTATGGTAAAAGTGATGGAAATGGTTCAGTTCATGAAGTTCAGGGTCCTGAAATTTGGAAGATACTGGGAAGGACGAGGCGCTAGGATGAGGAAGAAGCTGTTCGTCAGGACTATCTCCTATGACCCACCTCGAGGACAAGGTGGTTGTTCCAGGGGGGAGTGATGTTAGAGTCTCAGGAAGTCAACCTTTTGATAATAATAATAATAGTATTAGCTATTATAATAAAATGTATTCCAGAAGGAAAGGGAATAATAAGTAGCTAGCTGAATTGTATTTGGGGGGTCGGATGGACTTCTATAAATATATAGCTAAAGGAGGAATAAGGAGGCTGTTATTTTGGTATTGGGCTGGGACTGGAGAGTTGACATCTCTTTAACTGTCAGGGCACTTTCTCTCTCTTTTCTGTTGTTCGAGTCACAAATCCTGTTCACTGTTCATCTTTGTTCCTATTGTTTGCTAGAATTCTCTGTAATTCAGTTAGATACCTAACATTTAGTTGTCCCAAAAAACTTTACCATTTCCATTTGCAATAATAAATACTCCGTATGTGGTTACATTTATTTCTTTCTCTCCTGCACAAATATCTACCACACAATTTTTATTTTATTATTTCACGTGGAAATATAACTTTGTGAAACCAAATATAACTTTGTGAAAACGAATCTTTTAAGTTTCTTGAAACGAAGGTGGTATTAATTATTTTTATCTATATGAGGAGAGAAAGGGGACCCCTAAGTTTATTGGGACTAAGGTCTGGATGTTGTTGTTGTATAGGAGAGAAAGGGGGAGGAAGCAGATTAACATAGTGCATTTCATATATGCAGGTGAGAGCTATAATCGTGGAGAAACAGTAGACGCGTCTAAGTTCGCAGAAGATCCTGCTTTGCCACCGCCAACAACACAGAAGCCCTCCTCAGTCATTGATGATGAACTTTCGACCTTGAGCATGAAAGATTCCATTCCTACTCAAGCGTACCGCTGCAAGAAATGCCGGAGGGTGGTTGCGCTGCAAAACAATGTTGTCGATCATGTTCCTGGTGAGGGTGAATCCGCCTATATGTGGTATAATAAAAGGAAAAGTGGCTTTCTGTTTGACAAAGAGGATGAACATGAGTGTTCTTCCCTCTTTATTGAGCCTCTTCAGTGGATGACAAAAGGTATTGCCGCCTATTTCTTCACTCTTTATCTCTGTAGTCCAGGTCCGGTGTACGATGAAGAAGACGGGGCGCCCTTTTGGTACTTATTTTTTTTTTACTTATCACCCCCATTTTTAACTAAAGAAAAAAACTGCATTTTCTGAATCAGTTAGTTGTACAAACTTCCCCAAGGTTTAGTCAAATCACCAAATGACACTTGTCACTTGAGGTTTCTGAAAATTAAGAATTAATCAGATCTATAAACGATGCTAAAGATGATACGATACAATGATATTAGCAGGAGCTGCTTTCCCAGACTATGTTGCCTTCAATATTTGTTCTAATTTTTTTTTAAAGAAAACTTTTGATATTTTAAGCTAATAAACGCACTAGCTCCATTCCTTAATAAACCCCCGATTTGACCTGTAGTTTTAAGTTTGCTTGAAATACGGAGTATATGTTTGGAATCATATGAATGAATTTAACAAGGGTATAAATATGTAAATAATGGTAGCAGTCTAGCAGATCTGGATCCCTTCATTATTCAAGTCCATCCCTAGCCATTATAGTCTTCTTCATCTTCCAAAAGTAGCCTAATAATTTTCAAATTCTATTTCTTTTCTGGCCTGTTCTTACTTTTCATCTCCTCTATAATATCTGAAAACCAGTTGGAGAGGGTGCCCTGGAAGGAAAGCTCTCATGTGTCCATTGTGAAGCTCGACTTGGTTACTTCAATTGGTCAGGCATTCAATGCAGTTGCGGAAGCTGGGTCACCCCCGCCTTTCAACTCCACAAAAGCCGGGTGGACCCCAGCACTTTGTGAAATTTGAATCCAGGTGGGTCACCTGCGGCCTACAATTGATGAAAACAACTACACAGTTGTTTTATCCCTTAAAGAAGAAGATGTTAAAGAACTCATCATCCTTATAATGATTTCTTCCTCCATCTTCTGACACTCACTTCCATCCTTGAACTTTACTCTGTCTTTTGATGCTTTTAAGATGATAGGCCAATAAATCATGCACATTGATTGTACACTGGCTTGTACTAGCCAATACATGCAGCTGCAAAAACTTCCATCACTTTTTGTTGTGTATTTCTGATTACCTAATTGTAAAAGTAACATAAATGGTGTAACAGTTTTGTAACCGATTAGGTAATTTTGAGTCCCTTGCGTTTTCATACAATATGTGGAGTTTTTTTTAGTTGTCAACAGATTCCAGAGAGCTAGCCATATCCCGGTCCGGTTTTAGTTCTTCCGCATTGTGACCAGGCAGGAAATCAGGACCAATATCATATCCTACAAATTTATGCTGTAACAGGAACTAACATTGTAGGCTACAATGTTAGTTCATGTTGTAGCATTTGAGTGATGCGGATTCGGCCCATATCCACCCCCTATTTGATAACTTTAGAAATTTTGTTTTCAGTCTCGCAAGTCGCAACTATACGGATTGACCGAATGTATTGTCATAGTCACTATTTAGGCAAGTCCAGGATAGATTTTAAAATGGTGGAACTCTGATCTGAAATAATTAGAAAAGGAGATTATTGGCTTAATCTATATGGTATAGTTTATAATTAATTTAGTAAAAATTGCAATGTTATGATTAAAATATTTCTCAACTGGATGTCTGAATCAATGAGAAATAGAGGAAAGAAAACTCAGATTTTTGTTTTATAGATTCATCCAAACATTTTGCAAGGCGGTCTACATATATAAAATAATAAAATTCTTTCAAAAAAATATAAAATAATAAGATAGTAATAATGTCCGTAATGAAATATTTGTTTAGTATTTTGAAAAATCGGTATATTGGTCAAATCATAAAAATTTCATTGTGTGAATTTAAGTTACCGGGCAACTCCTACATGTGAAAACTATAACTGAAAAAATCTAAATAATTCACGTAAACAATTAGAGCCCTGACTTTGTTTTTGGGCTTATCAGTCAACTTTAAAATCGAACACATAGTTTTTGAATTCGCGCGTTGAATTATGTAATAATAAGAAAACGCAAGGATGTAGTTACTTTTCTAGTTGTATTGGTTGAAGTTATTGTAGATGATCATTTTAGTTATTTTCCATATAATATTTTCTTTATTTTGTTAATAAAATATATTCCAACTATATTTTTTTCATAAATCAACCTAATCAGCAATACAACCACTTCAGTCAGAACTTCATAAATTTCAGCAGAATTAATCGATTCAGCCAATTTCAATGTTAATAAACGGGTGCTAACGTTTGTATTTCGTAAATGGACATTGATTTGTGCTCACAAACATTTGTTTGCACGCTTATCTATGTACTTTGCACAAATGGTGTGCATAAAAGTCGTCTGTAATTAACTTAGTTCTTTGCGAAATACGTAAATCAAATGTAAACTCTTTTCTGCATCAAGCACTACTGATCATAAATACCTAGGGGTGGACCGGTTCCGGTTCGGGCCCGGCCGGGCCTCGGTTCATGAAGGGGAGGCCCAGAACCGGCCCGGGTAACCCCCGGGTCCGGGTCGGGCCGGGCCTCGGTTCTATTTTTTTTTTTGGCTTTTCCTAGTTAACCCCCAAACCTCCCCAAACCAACCCTAACCACCTCAAATGGCCCAAAATACCCAGCCCAACCCAAAAACTTAAAAAAAATTCAACAAAATAATAATAATATAAAATTGGCCCGAACCGGGCCCGAACCGGCTGGGCCGGTTCACCTTTTGAAGGGCCCGAGCTCGAACCGCCATCCCACCTGGCCGGGTGGCCCGAATCGGTCAACCAACCGGTTCACCGGGCCGGTCCGGGCCCGCACAGTAGCGGGCCAGTCCGGTTGGCCCGGCCCGAGTCCACTCCTATAAATACCCGGATCAATAAGACTTTTTCTTTATTTTTTGCAAAAGGATCAATAAAACTTAAAAAGTGTGATATCGTTGAACTTTTTAGAAGTGTTAAATCAATGAATAGAAATTGTTGCTGCAAATTAAAATATAATGACTGCAAATACTCAATTTTGATCGATTCTTGTTTAGTTACAACAATTCAACTCTCACATCTAGCAAAACACAACTTTTCAGTTCAAAAAAAAGCAAAACACAACATTGATCATTAATACTCTGTATATTTTAAGTTTAAATGTGTTTTTAGTCACTACAAATGTCTTACATTTTTAGTTTAGATCTCTATAAATATTTTTAGATCCCTACAAAATATCTTTTACTTTTCATCCTTGTAATATGTATTTTTCTTTTTAGCCCATCTTTAATTTCGGGACCACTTCATTTAGAAAATAAATTAATGTCGCTTGCCTAAATGACTAAATCTATTAAAAAAATTTAAACTCATCAATTTTATAATCATTTTGAGACTAATGAGATTGAAAAGAATGTAAAACTAGTCATTCATAAACCACACATAATAAATAGGTTAAACAACCTCAAAAATAAAACTACGTAATTCTTGAAAGATATGACAAGGAAAAGAAATGTAAATTACAAGAATGAAAAACAAAAAAATCCAAAGATGTATAATAAAATATACTATTTTTGTAAGGATTAAAAACATATTTAGGCATAGGTTTAATAAAAATCTAATAGATATGAGAATTTTATAATATGTAGTATTTATATGAAATGATAGAGAAAACATAGATAATGTATGTGAAAAATTCAAAAATTGAAGTGTTATAATTAATAAAGAACAAATAAATTATACGGAGTATTTATTAATTTAATGAAGAGAAAAACAGGTACACATAAAAAAATCATCATCTTTACTTCTTTAGGAATCTGGGTATAAAATCTTGCAAAATTGCCTAAACGATGAATAAACAGAAAAATAAATGACCTATTAACATTTGTTTGGTGTGAACTCCCATTTTGCTAAAGAAATAGAGAGAAAACATGACAATAACAAACATCAACATTCTCATTTCTCGTACAGTTTTCAATAGCCCCAAGAACCCCATCGTACGGGCAGGATAGGTAATGCCATCACTACATTATAATAACGAGTTGACCCACATGCAGATTGGCTGGGCCGGTTTGAGGGGGCAAGAGGGGCGACCGCCATAGGCCCGAAAAAAATAAAAGAAAAAATAGACTCAAATTTTTTTCTTTATATATAGTTTGAATAGACTTCTTTTTTATTTTTAAGTTCAGTTAATTAGACTAATGTTTAATTTTGTTGACAATTTGAAAATTTAAAATATAAATAAAAAGTCTTAAACAGAGTCAAGCTAAAAAAAGAATGTACACTTTAATTTTAAGTAGGATCGGTTGTAATTTTTAAAATCAATACAATTGTTGATGCATCAATAAAAGCGCCTCTTCATCTTCACATCTCTTTAGCCTTTAAGGCTTTTTATTCATTATAATTATAACAAAACCTTTATATAATTATTTTAGAGTCTATCTCTCTCAAATCTCATTCCAATTATTTATTTGTTTCCAAATTTCAATAAACTATATCTGAGTTCCTAATAGTAGTTTTAGAGGACGTCAAATTGCCATTGCACGAGTCTTCTTGGCGGCCAAACATTTGTCTCTTTGAAACCCTTCATTCTTTCGAGACTTTAATTTTTAGACTCACATAAGCGGTCAATAAATCATTCTCAACTTATGAGTTCAATATGTAGTACCTTCGTCCCAAAAAGGTTCGTCAAATTGACTTTTATTGGTCAATGATAAGAAATTTTGGACAATGATTTTAATTATTATATTTGTATATAATTTATAATTTTATACTTTTATGGAAATATATTGAATAAGGTACATTTTGATATAATTTTCATATTCAAAAAAAATTCGTATTAAAAAATATTATTAGTCAAAATTGATAGTCATTGACCAAGAAAAGTCAATTTGGCGAACCTTTTCAGGACGAAGAGAGTAATATTTTTTTTCATTTATCCATTCAAAAGAAAGTTTAGTGTTGTTATATGTGGTAATTTTATTGTTTGTCATATTTATTAGTGGAAAGAAGGTTGCCTATGAAGCGATTATTGATGATTTGCTTCACATTATTCTACGAGAAACGTTTTTAGTAATGTTTTTTTCTTTTTATCTGATACTCGTGTTGTTACTTTTGTCCAAATACCTAACTTAAATCATAATAAAGTGATTCTCGCCTTTATTTTATGAACTTCATTGGATACTTCTATTATAATTCATATTTCAAATAAGTACTCCATCCGTCCCGGAAAATTAGTCCCGCTTTCCTTTTTGGGACGTCCCAAAAAATTAGTCCACTTACTAAATAAGGAAAGGTTTTTTTTAATTAAAACCTATTTTGCCCCTCCTTATCATTTACCCTACCACGCCTTATCACTTACTCTCCCTCACCTTTGTCATTACCACTTCCGCAACACCATTCCCACCCACTTTCCTCTCACTCCTTCATTACTCCGGCGATACCACTTCACCTCTCTCTTACACTATTCTGGTGATTTGTCCTCCCTTTCTTGTACTCTTCAATTGTTTGAACTTTATTTCCTTCTCTGATTTCATTTCCAGTTTAACTCTAGCTTATATGTTGATCTAACCGTCTGTCCTCAAATCAAATCCCTAAATCCGATTACCATGGAAGATCTTCCTGCATGCAATGAATGCATGGCGGATCTTATGGTTCCAGACAACATTTTGGAGTACCAGATCGAAGACAGTGAAGATGTGTTAGAGGACGAGGACAGTGAAGCTATGATGAAGTTAATGGTTCCGGACAATGAAGAGGAGGCAGGTGAGGAGGTCGGTGGAGGTGCGGTGGAGGTTCAGTTTCCAGATAGTGATGCTTGGGCTAAAATAATGAAGGATGTTCGAATGCAGTACATTCGTTATCCTGGTCTAGAGGACTTCTTAAAACTCATCCTACCCGGCCGGGAATCGAGGATGTGGGATGTTGACGCCTAACAGGGGAGTTTGTTTCTCTATTGGTATTGTTTTGGGAAAACTATCAAATTGGCCCCCGTAGTATATCAAAAAAGTCAATTAGACCCTCAAACTAAAAAAACACCCAATTAAACCCACCAACTATAGAAAAACAGTCAAATTTGTAATCTAGCAGGTGAGAGTCCGGTTAGCCGGTTACTCGAGTGACGTGGCCATCACTTGTTTAATTTTCCATTTCCTTTTTTTCTTTTTCCTCTCCTACTACATTCTTCGATCTTCCACCATTTCTCTTCCCCTGCTTATTTCTCCTTCTTCTTTTTTCCTTCTTTCCTCTAAGTCTA